GAGCTCATTGCTCTCGTGGGGGCCGATTGGAACCGCGAAATTCGTCTTCGCGTTTTGGCCGCTCATTAGGACGGCCGCTTGGTCGTACGCCCTCGCGGCGGCCTCGGCCGTCTCGAATGTACCCAGCCAAATTCTTTTTTTCCTATATTGAGGCAATATATAAGTTATTCAGTTTATGAATATTGGAAAATGTCAGAAATAGAAGGAATATTATTTTTTGAAGAATTATTACAGCAAAGGGTGTCGGATTTCTGACACCCAGGAGCCCCACTGGCGTTGCCTGACACCTCTGAACTTTTTTGTTTGTACCATGTTTTTTTATCTTTGTTTTACAATTTTTTTTTTTTTAAATGGCTAATAATAATAAGTTCAGTTATTTGCAGAGCAAACTGCAAAAACTGGATGATCAGTTGAGGAGAAATATTAGAGGCTTTTAAAATGTGACTTGTCGGTGTGGAAACCTGAAAAGTTTTTTTTTTTTTATTTATTTTTTAATTATTATAGTTATTATTTTATTGAATTTTTTTAATTTAGATTTAAGAGAAAAGGGTGTGTGCGTATTAAAAGCTTTCACCTGTTTTGCTATTTACTGAACCATAATTATGGTAACCACTCCACATAAATGTAACTATCCATTCCAATCATGTTCTTAGAACATGGGACTTTTCATTTTTTTCTTTTTTTTCCTATTTAAATGTTGAAAAAAAGAGAATGAGGAGCTATGATAGGAATAAATACCATGTGGAGTTTGAGTCTAGGGCTGCAACGAGTCGAGTCGAGTCGAGCATCGACCTTATCGAGCAGGATTGAATTTTTTTTTAGTTGCTCGAGCTCGAGCTCGAGTTCGTCGAGTTCGATTTATGAGGCTCGAGCTCGACTCAATAAAAAAATACAAGAGCTCGAGCTCGACTCGAATTCAAAATGCTCGAGTTCGATTCGAATTTTTTCAAGCAATTTTGTAAAATAACCATTAAATACATATATATACAAGGGTATTTTAGTAATTTCATATATCTCGCGCCCCTCGCGAGCCGCTCGACAATGCAAAATAGGGCTCGAGCTCGACTCGAGTTCGTGCTCGAGCCGCTCGAGTTCGGTCGAACTCGAGCTCGAGTCGATCTTTGACCCGAGCGCTCGCGAGCGGCTCGCGAGCTGCTCGTCTCGTTTGCAGCCCTATTTGAGTTTATTCATATACTCTTACGAGATTTATTGTACATCCAATTCACTAACTAAGGGGCAAAAGGAGAGATTTACCATAAGCTGAGTTGATCTTGACCGGCTTTACCAAGCTGTTCTCATGGACCGGAGTTAGCTAAGATGGCTGGTTTACAAGTAGCTCATCAATATTTATAGCTCGATATGAAAGGAGCTCGTGTACAAACACCAATATGGATAGCTCGCCACATAAGTAGCTAGGGCAAAGGTATTAGTACTGGTAGCTCGGCATAGGAGTAGCTCGACTTTCATGAGGCTCGAAATCATTAGTAGTTCGGCATGTAAGTAACTCGAACAGTAGATGGCTCGATGGTATGAGTCTTGAGCTCGATATTATGGCATAGCATAGACATCATATATAGGGAGACGACTTATAGAGGCATCTTATAGCTAAGGGCCGACTATAGAAGCAGTTGAGTACATGTTATCTATGAGGGACACGTGTAGGGTCAGAATAAAAAAAATGAATAAATGATCTGATGAATGAGAGCAAAGCGTATTCAGGAAGTTGACGATTCTATATAAATAAAAAATGTGGAAAAAGATATGGTTAATCACATTCTATACTCTAAGTTATCCATACAGTTTAACACAACATTCCATGACCTTTTACTGACTTGATCCTCGAAGGTTTAAAGCTGAGAACACCTCTCGACGTCTTTGCAAGTATCGGGGAAGCAGGTCCGACGAGTATCGTTAGAGAGCCGGTTCAATGTGCAAGAGCAAATCAATACTGAATCAATATTTATTAATACTACAAGAAATATTTGGCCGGGATATAATTGCATATTAGAGTGCTCCAATGAGTTTTCTGTAGGTAGTTCCATTAGGGAGAGTGATGTAGAACGTGATACGAAAAGGGAACAAGAATGAGATACTCTCTCGTAAATGACAAACGTCAGATAAATTTCATAAAATTCCAATTTGATTTCTACGCGGCAATACATCAGATTAAATAAAGAGAGTCCACTCTTGCTAAACAACTGCAAGATAATTATTTTTCTAACTAATTAAAATCAATACGGAATAAAGATAATAATAATAACGTACGTAACTAATCAAATCAACACCAAAAGTCGATCGTATTTGTCCAGAAACTCCAACGCGAGCTCCTCTTCATTAAAGAGGGTCACCAATATTTTTCTGAGAGGTGTGAGCTTGTTACCACTAGTGACTCATTATATTATATTATAATATTATTTATCATGCACAACCTCTCTTCCTCTCCAATATCCACATTAACATTTTTTTTTATTTTTTTTTTTGAAATATACTAATACGAAATAAATAATTACATAAGTGTGTCCAGACAATTAGCAGGTTAAGAAAATTATAGGGCCATACTTTTGTCCTCACTCTCAAAAAGATTTGCTGTAATATTTATGTGAGTTTGGTGAAATTGGACATTTTTAGGGACCAAACTTTGACTTCTAAGATGGGAGACCACGAACATGCCCCGTTTTTGCACCAACTGGACATAATATCACTTAAATTCAATTGAAAATAAATAAATAAATAAAGACTCACACTCACAAGACCAAAAGTGAAATAACTCACTTTAACTACAACAATTTAAACACTTATATTTTACTTGATGGAGCTGAAGCTTCATTAGTTGATTATATATTTGGAAAAATGTTAAGGTCCCGTTATAGAATCATTTCGTCGGGTTTGTAACCGTTAGATCATCATGTAACCGTCAGATATAATTGATTTAACGGTTACGAACCCAAACGGAATGGTTTCGTAACGGGACCGTAATATCTTCCATATGTTTGTATCAGATCTAGATAAATTAGTAATAATTTGTGTCAGAATATATCAAATGCTTAAATTTCTTTAAATTAATCTTTTATATACAACTTATTAATTAATATTCTTCTTAAGGGAAAATTACGATTTTGATCCATTAATCTTGACAATCAATTAATCTTGAGTTTGACAATCAATTGACTTAGATTATTTTCCAACCAAGCCATTATTTAATGTTTATTATTTTTAATGTTTATTATTTTTAAAATGCCCATTTCCTACGTGGCAAAGAAAAAGTAGCCACCTCACTACTTGACCGGAAACTAATCGACGATCATCAGTAAATTTGATTGGTTTCCACACCAAGTGAGATTGACATTAGACTAAATTTACTAAAACTTAAAAGTGGTGGACCAATTTCGGCCCCCAATAAAATCAATGAATAAAAATAGAAAACGACACAAGTTAACGGACTAAAATTGTAATTTGACCCGCTTCTTATAGCTAGATGTGGCCAAACTCTAATTTCAGGCCGATTCTGAGTCGGAATCGCTGGTCCCAGGCCGAGGTTTGGAGGACCCTGAACTGGCCCGAACATATGCAGTAGTTGATTTATTTTATCTGCCGGTATGGACAGGTTTAGTGAACTGTCGATTCAAGGCTGGCTTGGTTTAATAAAAAAAACAATAAAAAATAAATGAAAAAAAAAACTCGAACCGCCTATTCCGATTTGGAATCGGCCACGCTATTCAAAAAGTACAAATATATAGCTTGCAACCGGCCCGGTCAAACCACGGGTTCGGTTGAAGGCCCGTTGACCACGAGCTGGTCCGAGTCGGGTCGTGGCCATGTCTACCCATAGTTATTGCAAGAGTTAAAGTAGCATACTGTGGCATGGAGGTGTAAGAATTTTATCCACCAACGTTGATACAGATGGCTAACTGCTTTTATATACCTGTTTTTAGCTTAATCAATAGCATATTATGTTTAAAATGTATGCTCAAATTTGAAAGGATTTTGGTGCTGGTTATATGATCAATCTCTTTCACCTTGAATGTTAATTATGTTCAATCGCTTTCGATTACAAATTTAATTAATGGCAGCGTCGACGTTTAAGGTAGTTTGTTTGTGCTATAGGTCACAAAGAGGAAGCAGGATGATGAATTTCATTCAAATTAATAAGAGTACGTTTTGGAAAATCCCTTATATACTAATTTCATAATGCTCCGATTATATTTATCGAATTATGGTGTTTTATAATCTTATGTGTCAACTAGTACGTGACCCGTGCGATGTAAAAAAAAAAAATAAAAAAGAAAGATATTACGCTTGTATTATAATTTAAATGTATAAAGAACAATAATCATGATTTACCCATTGTATTCAAAATCAGACCAGACCGAATAGTCCGACTGGTAGACCGCGAACTGATTGATCGATCCGTCCAGTTTGCTTAAATAAAATGTTTGTTGTGAACCGATCGACACCAGGCACTCAAACAAGTAGGATTTGTACGATTTTTAAACAAATTATGTAACATTTAAAATTATCTTTAATATGAATAAAAATGAAATGAATATTAATTCTAATAAATTAAATTCAAATATGACCAATAATGTATTGAATATATAACATGATCGGTTCGATGATGGCCCGTTCTGAGAAATTTTGATTTACCAAATATTTAATAAAAGTTGTAATACAATATCATTTTGCTTACATAAATATTAATAAAACTAGTACAATGCCCGTGAACTACACGAGTGTTTGAGGAAAAAATTAATTGTGCAACAAAAAAATGACAAAGAAATAAAATTCTTAATGTAAAATAAAAATTATAATTATAAATAATAAAGTAAAAAAAAAATGTAATTCTAGAAAATATATTGTATGAAATATTATATATTTTATTTAAGATATATATTTTTTTCAAACTTAATAGAATAATATTTTATTTTACAGGTAATATAACGCCGTGAACAACAAGGTGCCTTAAAATAAAAAATATTTATATTAAAACGAATAAGTTGAGAAATTAACATTATTATAAATAATGATAAAAAAAAATTAAGTATAAAATTAGTAATTTAAAATTTTAACAAAAGTAGTTATTTAAAATAATACCTATAATTTAAAATCGATTTTTAAATTGGTATTTTTATAATAAAAATAAATTTATATACAAAAATAAATAAAGAAAGTTATACTATTATAATATAGTGATAAAAATTAAGTATAAAACTAATGATTAAAAAATTAACAGTTAATTATTTAAAATATTACCTATATTTTTAAAATTAATTTGTTAAAATAATATTTTATTAACATATATATATATATATGTG